ATTTCCCCAAATTTCTCCCAAAATTCCCCCCAAAATAACAGAAAAAAGGAAAAAAAATTCCAGAAAAAAACCTGGAATTAAATCCAGAGAAAAAAATTTTAAATGCCTCCTAAAAATCCCTAAAATTCAGGAAAAAACCCCCCCAAAATAAATTAAAAATAACCCACCAAAAATCCAGGAAATTCCCCAAAAAAATCCTGAAAAGATCCGGAAAAATTTCCCCAAAAAAATCTCCCAAAATCGAAATAAATAAGTTTTTTGAAATCCCCAAAAAATCCCATTAAATCCCCAAGAAATCCCGAAAAATCGAAATAAAATCCAGAAAAAAAATGCCCAAAAACTAAATTAGAAAAGTACAAAAAATGCAGGGAAAAGAAGTCAAAATAAAATGTGAAAAAATTCTGGAAAAATACCCAAAAAATTCGGGAAAAAAACCCCCAAATTCAGGATGCCCAAAAACTAAATTAGAAAAGTACAAAAAATGCAGGGAAAAGAAGTCAAAATAAAATGTGAAAAAATTCTGGAAAAATACCCAAAAAATTCGGGAAAAAAACCCCCAAATTCAGGAAAAAGTGCCCAAAAAAGTAAATTTAAAATCCCAAAATATCGCCCAAAATTCCCCAAAAACACAAGTTAAAAAAAAATCGTCAAAAATTGCAGAAAAAAAATCTCAAAAAATTCCCCCCAAAAATTCACGAAAAAAAATCCCAAGAAACTTCCAAAAATAATGAAAAAAAAAATCCCTAGTATTCCCTAAAAAAATCCCAAAAAAACCCCCAAAAATCCTAAAAAATCTCAAAAAATTCCCCCCAAAAATTCACGAAAAAAAATCCCAAGAAAATTCCAAAAATAATGAAAAAAAAAATCCCTAGTATTCCCTAAAAAAATCCCAAAAATTAAAAAAAAAAACCTGAAAAAATCCCCCCAAAAATCCCGGAAAAAAAAATCCCAAAAAAACCCCCAAAAATCCTAAAAAATCTCAAAAAATTCCCCCCTAAAATTCCCGGAAAAAAATCCCCCAAAAAATCCCGAAAATTCAAAAATCCCGGAAAAAAATTCCCCAAAAGTCCCAAAAAAATTCCCCAAAACCCCAGAAAAAATCCAAAAAAATCCCGAAGAAAATATCAAAAAATTCCCCCCAAAAATCCCGAAAAAAAATCCCCCAAACCCCCGAAAAAATAAAAAAAAACCCCCAAAATCCTGAAAACAATCTCAAAAAATTCCCCCCAAAAAATCACAAAAAGTCCCGAAAAAAATCCCAAAAACCCCAGAAAAAACTAAAAAAATCCCGAAAAAAATCCCAAAAACCCCAGAAAAAACTAAAAAAATCCCGAAAAAAATCCCAAAAACCCCAGAAAAAACTAAAAAAATCCCGAAAAAGTCCCCCCCCCCAAATCCTAAAAAATCTCAAAAAAACGCAAAAAATCCCCCAAAAAATCTCAAAAAAAATCTCAAAAAATCCCCCCCAAAATCCCGAAAAAATTCCAAAAAAATCTCGAAAAAAATCCCCAAAAAATCTCGAAAAAAATCTCAAAGAAACCCCCTAAAATCCCGAAAATATTCCCAAAAAATATCAATAAAACACCAAAAAACCCCCAAAAAATCACGAAAAAAATCTCGAAAAATCCCCTTTAAACCCCAAAAAAATTCCAAAAAAACCCCCAAAAAATCCCGAAAAAAATCTCAAAAAATCCCCCCAAAATCCCGAAAAAAATAAAAAAAAACACCTCAAAAAATCTCGAAAAAAATCTCGAAAAATCCCCTTAAAACCCAAAAAAAATTCCAAAAAAACCCCCCAAAAATCCCGAAAAAATCTCAAAAAATCCCCCCAAAATCCCGGAAAAAACCCAAAAAAACCCCAAAAAATCTCGAAAAAAATATCGAAAAATCTCCTTAAAACCCCAAAAAAATTCCAAAAAAACCCCCCAAAAATCCCGAAAAAATCTCAAAAAATCCCCCCAAAATCCCGGAAAAAACCCAAAAAAACCCCAAAAAATCTCGAAAAAAATCTCGAAAAATCTCCTTAAAACCCCAAAAAAATTCCAAAAAAATCTCCAAAAATCCCCCCAAAATCCCGAAAAAAAATTAAAAAAACCCCCAAAAAATCTCGAAAAAAAATCTCGAAAAATCCCCTTAAAACCCCAAAAAAATCCCAAAAAACCCGAAAAAAATCTCAAAAAATCCCCCCAAAATCCCGAAAAAAAACCCAAAAAACCCCCAAAAAATCTCGAAAAAAATATCGAAAAATCTCCTTAAAACCCCAAAAAAATTCCAAAAAAACCCCCCAAAAAACCCCAAAAAAAAAACCCGAAAAAAATCTCAAAAAATCCCCCCAAAATCCCGAAAAAAACCCCAAAAAACGGCCCCGCCCCCTCGGCCCTCCCCCGCCCTGTCGGGCATGCGCAGTGTGACGAGCGCCGAGCCCAGCGCGGCTCGGGGGGGACCCCCGGGACCCCCGGGCAGCTGCAGCAGCAAAGTGGCGACCGCGGCCACGCCGTCCTCGGTGGGCTCCAGCGTCACCGGCGCCGCCCCCAGACCCAATTTCGGGGGGCCCAGCCCCGACTTCGGGGGGCCCGAGCTCGATTTTGGGGGTCCCGAGCTCGATTTTGGGGGTCCCGTTAGGGTTTTAGGGGGGTTTGGGGGGGCCAAATGGCGATTTTGGGGGTCCGGAGGTGACGTTTGGTGGCCAAAGCGGGGATTTTGGGGGTCCGGAGGTGACGTTTGGTGGCCAAAGCGGGGATTTTGGGGGTCCGGAGGGGAATTTTGGGGGTCCGGAGGTGACGTTTGGTGGCCAAAGCGGGGATTTTGGGGGTCCAGAGGGGAATTTTGGGGGTCCGGAGGTGACGTTTGGTGGCCAAAACGTGGATTTTGGGGGTCCGGAGGTGAAGTTTTGGGGTCCAAAGGTGACGTTTGGTGGCCAAAATGACGATTTTGGGGGTCCGAAGGTGACGTTTGGTGGCCCAAACGAGGATTTTGGGGGTCCAAAGGGCAATTTTGGGGGTTCCAAGGTGGGGCTTGGGAATTTGGGCCACCCGAGGCAGGATTCTGGTGGCCCACGTGAGGATTTTGGGGCTCCGCGGGGGAATTTTGGGGCTCCCGCGGCTCCGCCGGGGAATTTCGGCCGCTCGGCTGCAGATTTTGGTGGCCCGGCTCCAAATCTTGGTGGCCAAGCCTCAAATTTTGCTGGCCCAACCCCAAATTTCTCTCTGCTGACCCCAAATCTTGGTAGCCCACCGCCCTATTTTGCTTGCCCGCCCCCAAATTCCTCTCCCCACCCCCCAAATTCTGGTTGCCCGCCCCCAAATCCTGGTAGCCCAACCCCTTGTTGTGCTTGCCCAACCCCAAATTCCTCTCCCCACCTCCAGAATTCTGGTAGCCAACCCCAGGAGTTTGGTAGCCACCTCCAGAATTCTGGTAGCCAACCCCGGTATTTTGGTAGCCAACCCTAGAATTTTGATAACCAGCCCCAGAATTCTGGTAGCCAACCCCAGGATTTTGATAGCCACCCCCAGGATTTTGATAGCCACCTCCAGGATTCTGGTAGCCACCCCCGGGATTTTGATAGCCACCCCCAGAACCTTCGTAGCCAACCCCAGA